GAGATTACAGATGTTGTTTATGTGTGTTTAGTGTTTAGACCTGAGGTTACAGATGTTATTTATGTGTGTTTAGTGTTTAGACCTGAGGTTACAGATGCCTTTAAGTTTACTTTCTGATCAGAATTCACACTAATTATAATAAAACTGACTTTCTTTAGGCCTAGTTTCTGTCTTACGTTGAGCTAGTTATACTTAAATTAATATCGTTTAGGCCTACTTTCTGGTCTTAATCGAGACTACTTATACGAAAAATAATACCCTTTGGGTTTACTTTCTTGTCTTAATTCGGGCTATTTACACTAAAACTAATATCCGTATTATTTCGGGCTAGTTATACTAAACTGATATCTGTCAGGTCTACACTCTAACTTTAACCAGTTGTTACGACAGCGGAAGTCACGTGACGCTAGTAACACGTAATGATATTCTAGAAGGATCATCGTGGCAACTCTGGTCTTTTCTACGCGCCCTCTATTCTTGTATATAAGTGCGACAGATAAAGAAATTGATTAATCAGAGATTAGAATTGCAGACAGACAGACAGAAATGGACAATTCAGTCAAGCGCGGTAGTGACCGTAAGTAAAATGCGTGAATCGTTGTGAATTATAGCGTGTGTTTAAGTAAAGTGACTGTGGAAATTAAGTGTATTGCAAAGTTGAGTTGAGAAAGAATAAACTAGTTTTATTTAAGAAAGGACTTGTATCGCTGAAGTTTCTCGGAAAGAATTTCTACTGAAAATTAACAAACGACCAGAGACGTAACACAGTCTTGGATTCCTGGAAGTTGCCGTTATGTTAACTGATCTAGAACTAAGGTTATGACTAAATAAAATACTAATGTATACATAATTACCTTTATATTTAAACTACTAAGGTAAACCATTGTTGTTATTTTAAAATGATAAAACTGAATTAATATTTAAAACAAGATTTAATATACGTGTACGATCGATACTGGCTGAAACCTTACTCACAAACAACTCCATTAATGTTAACGAAAAACAAATCTTTTTCCAGTTTATTACATTTACTGTTATTTATAAAACCGTTTCTGTTATATTTTGTTCTTGCCATGCGTACGGTTAATAAAATGGAAACAAAACAAAAAAGTAACGCGGATAAATAAGTCCTGAAAAAAAAAACGTATTAGCATAAAACAATCACTTTCGGGTCCTCCGTTCTTATTTTCATCTATTTTAATTGTTGTATAGTTTTTAATAATTTCAACTAAGGCAGTTGTTCCAAATTTAGTTATAACAATAAATGCTATCAAGCAACAGATGTACCAACTGACGCTTGATTCACTGGTCACGCTAACATTTGACCTCCTGATCTTTCTGAAAAATAGCAACAATAATGAAAAGTTTAAATAATAAGGGGAGAAAAAACCATAACTTCTGTTACAGAAATCGCAACAAAATTATCATGAACGGAGTGGTCAGGTAAACCTTATTAATTACCCTGAATGAAGTGGTCAGACAAACCTTATTAATTACCCCAAACGGAGTGGTCAGATAAACCTTATTAATTATCATGAATGGAGTGGTCAGGTAAACCTTATTAATTATCATGAACGGAGTGGTCTAGTAAACCTTATTAATTATCATGAACGGAGTGGTCAGATAAACCTTATTAATTATCATGAATGGAGTGGTCAGGTAAACCTTATTAATTACCCTGAATGGAGTGGTCAGGTAAACCGTATTAATTACCCTGAACGGGGTGGTCAGATAAACCTTACTAATTATCCTGAACGGAGTGGTCAGGTAAACTTTATTAATTACCCTGAATGGAGTGGTCCAGTAAACCTTATTAATTATCATGAACGGAGTGGTCAGATAAACCTTATTAATTACCCTGAATGGAGTGGTCTAGTAAACCTTATTAATTATCATGAACGGAGTGGTCTAGTAAACCTTATTAATTACCTGAATGAAGTGGTCAGGTAAACCTTATTAATTATCCTGAATGGAGTGGTCAGGTAAACCTTATTAATTATCCTGAATGGAGTGGTCAGGTAAACCTTATTAATTACCCTGAACGGAGTGGTCAGATAAACCTTACTAATTACCCTGAATGGAGTGGTCAGGTAAACCTTATTAATTACCCTGAATGGAGTGGTCAGATAAACCTTATTAATTACCCTGAACGGAGTGGTTTAGTAAACCTTACTAATTACCCTGAACGGAGTGGTCAGATAAACCTTATTAATTATCCTAAACCGAGTGGTCAGATAAATTTTATTAATTGCTCTGAATGGAGTGGTCAAGTAAACCGTATTAATTATTCTGAACCGAGTGGTCACGTAAACCTTATTAATTATCCTGTACGGAGGGGTCGAGTAATCCTTATTAATTATCCTGAACCAAGTGGTCAGATAAATCTTATTAATTACCCTGAATGGAGTGGTCAGATAATACTTGCTCACCTTAAAGATGAAACTTTTCTTTCAAACGGATATGAAACATTCCAGCCAACTTGACCACGTCCGTCTAAAATAAGTACGATGTCTCACAGAGTTTTCCAAAATAACATTTTACAAGGACACCACCTACTCTGATCTAAAACTGTTTTATAAATATAATTCAGAAACTATTGTAACTCAAGAAATCTTTTTCTTCGTCAAGAGCAGAAAGGTAAAAAAGATGAATTGGTTCACTCTTCAGCTGGACTGCCATCTTCTTTATTACAGGTTGTCGAAAACGAAAAATGATGAAAAGATCGCGTGACAACAGTAAGAGAAAACAATCATTAACAACAAAGAACATTTGGTTGCAGAGATAATGAAACAGGAAATGAAAATACAAATATTAATCTGCTCAATAAGATAAGAGTGTTCTAGCAAGTGTAGGAAAATTTATTTGTTGGAGTTAAAAAAATTGTAGGAATTCTTGGCTATTTCTATTGGTTAAAGCAAGCAAGACAACATTTTTATCGGAATTTCTGGATATTTTTATTGGTTAAAGCAAGCAAGACAATATTTTTATCGGAATTTCTGGATATTTTTATTGGTTAAAGCAAGCAAGACAATATTTTTATAGGAATTTCTGGATATTTCTATTGGTTAAAGCAAGCAAGACAACATTTTTATAGGAATTTCTGGATATTTTTATTGGTTAAAGCAAGCAAGACAATATTTTTATAG